GTGTGTGTGGTATGTGTGTGTGAGTGTGTGTGTGCATGTGTGTTTGGACATTTGACACTGCGGGATGATAACTTCCCCCGTTCATCACCATCATCACTCAGCACCACCAGCACTTTGCCCTCATCAACACACCGAGACAAGAACACCTAGGTCCAGCCTTGTCACAAATCAACTATACATCAGCTGTGTGTGTGTGTGTGTGTGTGAGAGAGAGTTCCTCCAAAGTCATTATCCTTGTCAGTCTGTCAGAGTTGCTGTCGCATTACTGTCATCAGCTCCAGCCTCAACAAGTACTGTGTGTGAGTTTGTTTAGGAGACAGTGGGATGGATCCCCTCATGTATTGTAGAACCCCCCTGTGTTTTGGGTAGTGGTCCTTGTGAAAAAATGTAGGAGGAAGCTGGTCAGAGTTGGGAAAGTGAGAACGAGAAGGGAATTCAATGACAGAGCGGGGTGCTTGAGTGATGGTCAGAATGCAGGAGGCAGGTGCAGAGACCGAGTCAGACGGAGAGGGATTTTGCAGAGCTCACAGCCATTTTACCTTGAAAAAGGCAAACAGATGGCAACATCAAAACAGTTAGTGACCTGAATGATTAAATCCTAATGCTGCTCTAACTGTTTTAACATTTGAAAATCATTTGTCAGGAGCACCTCTTTCAGCACTGCCCTCTCTTCATTTTGCAGGAAATCATGTGAAAAGAGGAGGGCGACTGACTGAACTAAGCAATCATTTTCAGTAGTGCAGCATTATTATGGCACAATTATTTGATCGTTATAGAGTGTAGAACACACCGGTAATAATTCCGCACTGGAAGATGTGCCATCCCATTTTTTTAAAATGTTTTCAAGAAAATGGAGGTGTGCTTTGTATGTTCAACATATGACGTGTGGGTATTTTTTTTCAAGGGGAAAAAGTCACTGGATGAACTGGGTGTTCATTGATGAGAGCTGTTTTGAAATCTGATTATTTAAACTGTACAATTTTTGACTTCTAGAGGAAAATGGAGTGTAGGTAGATTAGAAACAATGAAAAAAAAATTACAAACAAGACATTACTGATTATTATCTCTAACATGGCATTTGCTGTAATTCTAAAGTTTTGAAATTAGATTTTTATTGTGCTCAATGGATCAAAATAGTCATTGTTGGATGTTGGTTTCAAAGAGATCTTTAGGAATAAAGCCATTTACAAAGAGAGTATACATCACTGTGCAGCTTTTAACATATGTCTGGGAACATGTTACTATGGCAACATCACTGTGCAGGCTCAGATTAAAGGAGCCATTTAGTCAGCTACTGTTTTAAAAAAAATGTATCACGAAACTGTTCAGCTACTCCTTGCATTGTTGTGCCAAAAATAAAGCATAGCTACAAAATAAAAATTAAATAATTTCATTAGAATCTACACAAAACTACTAAAACCAAATGTTCTTCTGTCAGGTACATTTTACTGTAATGTTGTGGTAAAATCAGTCATCTTCTCTTTTGCTCCAGAAGCCATAAAGTCTAAAATTGCCTCTGTTTTTCACATCCCTGCTTAAAAATTTGTACACATAGTTTCCCAGCAGTGTCGTCCTCAGATTTGAAGGCCATTTATAATTCAACTCTAATGGAATAGTTAATGTCTTTGTGTATCTTACTATTGTGTTTTCAAGCCCTTTTTTTTTTATCTCTGTTCATTTATACTGCATGATTATAAAACCAACCAAGATGCAGCCGTTAATGGGGAATTTATATTTTCTGAATTCCGAGGATTTAAATGATTGAGAAATACATATTTAATGAAGCCTTTTGATGAAGAGATGGTTAGATTGCTGTTTAATTGCCTTGAACAGCATGCAGTTTCGAATTAGGTGTGTGTAAAAGCAGTTCTGATGTTAATTGTCCTTCTGGAGTTGAACTTTAATACGTTATTTAAATTAAAAGCGATTGGGACAGATGCCGGAATTCAAGGTAAATGCTGGACAAAGAATGCTTTAAGTTAAATTTAATATAGCACACTATTCAATTGGATGCCTGGAAAAGGTAGAGGCTAGTGCACTTCCATTAAACAATGAAGAAGATGAAGTGATCTTACTGACACACCCTGAAATGATGATACTGACTTTATGTATTAATGCATAAAGTTTCCAGTATGACTTTATCCAAAGAACTGCACTTTGCACCATCCTGCTTTCCTTTAGTTTCTGTGAAATTTAAACCTTAACCTTTGCGGTATTAATATCAGACTGTCAAAGACCAATTACTTAAACAGCCCTCTATAGGTGGTAGCAAACAGCCTTCAGCCAAAGTACTTTGATCATTATTGCAAATGGCAAACTACTCCTTAAACACATCCACAAGCAGATATTCTACATTCACACAATATGAAAGGTTAGCAGTGCTTCACTTCATTGGATTGCACAATTAGTACCTCAATGGATTCAGGGCTAAAGTAGGTCGAACTGAAAGGCTAAAAGGGAAGAAAAAAGAAAATAATAATACAGATAGCACACCGTTAATTGTGTGTAACAGTTTAAAGCAAATACCAAATCTCTATCAATCAGTCAACACTCTTTGTCGCCTCATCCATTTGTCTCTGCAGGCAGCCTGACATTTAATTGTATGACTAATTTCGCATTGACTAATGGGAACTTTATTGGTTACAACAGATACTAGCACACCATCAACACTTTATTTATTTCCCTTTGTGCAGCAGTCACTTTGACTGTCTTTGTGTCCTGCTTGGACAGTGATTGAGTTTAAAATGAGCAGTCCTTCTAACAACAACGTCCATGCTCAATAATCCAGGTATACAATCCAACATTTTTCAGTCTGGTCATCTGGACAGTTTCTTTTTTTTTGTGGTGAAACGTTTCGCCTTCGGTCCGGAAGGTTTCATCAGTCAAGGAAACGCACAACAAAACTGATTCTTCCCCCAACAGCTTACTCCAAAGTGGAACAAACCAGTTCTGCTTGTGATAAGACGGTCTCTTTGGTACGCCCCTCCTCCATTGCCGGCCCTCTTCCTTGTTGACAGTCTTGTCAAACTGGTTGAAAACAACAGTCTTTCTAACCCATTTCTCTCTTTCACCATAGTTCAACTTTCCTGAGACCCATTTCAGGAAGTGGATACTTAAAATCCTCATTTCTGGATTTGACCAAGCATGCTGTTATGAAATAAAGACTTTCACTCTGTCTAGTTTTAACATATCCACATTCTATGAACACAGATTTGTTTCACATACTATTAACAAAAGTGCTTTAAATTAGGTTTCTAATTGTCATTCATCTATTCTTTTAATATGATCAAAATTTAAATTAATGCAACTTTAATTATTTTAGAAAGTTTCTTAGCAATTTATTTGTCATCAAATTGGACATTTTGGAAAATACAGTGTTCGTTGCTCGGGGAAATCGCACACATTTCATTCCTAGGTTTAGATATTAAGATATACTAACTCGTTTAGAGCTGGATGTTGTTTTCTTAATTTAACTTTATTTAACTTTTTATGCTAACCTTTAACTTTTTTTTTCTGCTTTCAATAGGTGCCATCTTTGATGAGTCAGCACGGAAGGATGATGAGGTTTTTCGTCTTGCTGTGGCAGATCTCAATTTGAACAATGAGATATTGGAAACCGAAAAGATCACCTTCTCTGTGGAATTTGTGGATGGGAACAACCCTTTCCAGGCTGTACAAGAAGGTAGGATGAAATAATCTAGTTTATTGTCCTAAAGTTTATTCTATCAGTATGTCTGGGAACAGCTTGGTTTAGCTGGGGCATCATTTTATTTCTCCTTCTGTCCTTGAAATTAAAATGACTCCTAAAGCCTCAGTTTTAGAACCGAGGCCATGGAGATAATTTTCACCCAAGGGCAGCAGGAGGGTTGAGAGGGAGAACATTGTTAAAATACTGTACTAGTCTTTAGTGTTGAAGTGTTGAGCATAATTTCTGAAATTATCAGCACATGCTCCCATCAAACAATTAATTGTATTGTTTAGTTGTGACACAAATTTTATCTTAAAATATCTTACAAAATCGTACACATTTTTAAAAAATGTACTCAAATAATTGCTTTGCACTTTTTTCATTAAAAAAAAATCTAAATTGTGAATGTCACTAAAGTGTTTATTTTATTATTGTTATTATTATTATGATTATTTACTTTTTAAGGTCTACAGCTGTTATGTGGATTCCAAATATTTTATTCTTTCTATACCACCATGTCATGGAATGTCATTGAAAAAAGAAAGTAAAATAACAACAAAAAAGCAATTAAATCAACTCAGTGTATTGGGAAGTGTGTTGACAATTCAACAACCATCGATGCAGGGCTGGCACAACAACACAAACTAAATGTAATAATGTTGACTAATTATGACCTTGTGCAAAACCAGAAGAAGCATGCACACAGACAGTGTCACTTCTAAAGGGGTATATAGAGATGAGCATAGCACATGTATACAAGTGTGGGGGTTGGGGTGGGGGGGGGGGGGAGGTGGGAGCACAACTCAGTTATATAACTTCATCACCAGAAATGTTAACAGGTCATCTCATCAGCCTGGAAACTCAAGGATTCATTTATTCACTTTTTACTCTTTCAAATTCATTGTAGAAATAAGTAAATCTTACAACCATAGGACTGTTAAAGAGGTTGTCTTTATTGCTTGGCAATTTGATCATAAAATGCAAATTTACAGAATAACCCCCCCCCCCCCCACACACACACACACACACACACACACACACACAAAATCTGTCTGTCTGTCTGTCTATATCTATCTCTCGGCTAATTTGACATAACATTCCATTGAGCAACAGAGAATGAGTGACTAAACACAGTAGAACATTCTGTGCTTGGCCATTCACAAGTTTTTGTGAAGTAGGTGAATACCCAGTTATTATCTTCATCCAGATGATTAACAATTAATGGTTTTATCTAGGAATGTAAGTGATGATTTTTTTTTAATAATTATCTTCAGTAAAGTGTAGAATGTATTACATAGACCACGGCATACAAAATAGACTGATTGGATGCAGCGATAGGGAAAAAAGAGCTACATCATAAATTGGAATTAGATGAATGTGACAAACTAATGCTATCTAGCCTCGATCTGCCTGGACTATCACCAATTTGACTGGCTGGGGAAATGTACAAAGCTGAGCTCACTGAAGTCCTTCTTGAAGAAGCTGGGTCATAGCAAAGCATTACAATACCAGGAATGAAAAACGACCTTTACTTTATGTACACATTGTAATGGAAAATCTGCACATTTGTGTGCTTTTCATTTCTTCTTTCACACCATAGAAATTGTGAGAATTAAAAAAAAAAGCCATGTAAATAAACATGACACCATGTAAATAATCTGGAGTTAATGTATGTTTATCAAATGCTGCTAGATAAATTATTCAGTGACATTTAGAGGGTTAATAATGAATTGCCACAGCTAACCATTGGTAAAAAGAACCCACAGCCGTCTGTAGTGTGATAAACAGCAACATTAACCACAGGTTTTTCCTTAAGAGCTCAATTTACATACATGAAATGTTACAGTGTAATTAGCATCTTGTCTTTCATTCAGATTTTGCAGGCTTTCCAACTATAATTAGCAGCAGATTTGCAGAGGTAGTAGCTCATTATGTAATCATCATTTGGGCCGCTCTCATAAACACTTTCCGTGTGGAAAAAAGAGCTGAGGAGGTGTATTTGGTGTGGGATTAAAAGGAGATCACTCAGCTTAGAAAAGAAAAAAAAATAATGATGCTGCAAGAGAGATGCACAGATTGGGAGGGGGATTCTGGTTGTGATCTGTCTTTCTCTGTAGAATAATGAGGTAAACGAGCCTAAGCGTGTGATCAAAGTCGAATTGATAGTCTTGTCATGATTTGTGTGTTTAATAATCCTGCAATTCAAATTTCAGCTCCCCATCTCCAGTGTTTATGGTGGTGATAAACAGAGCATCATGCTAATTTATGATCAATGAACATTTGTTTTAGTACAATGAAGAAAATTTAACACACATCGACCTTTCTTTGTGTGCCTAATTTTGTCAAAAGAGTAGAATAAATTGGGTTGAAAATAATTGATTTTTGTTCATCTTAACAAAGTTACCCTTTTAAACCTGTCAAAGTTTGTTCAAAGGTCTTAAACTTTTGGTTAAAACATGTAATTTAGAGCCCTGCAGTCATGGCCACAGTTGTCACTTGGTACTAAATATAATTCATTGTGAATTGGATCAAATAATAATAATAAAAATTATATAGACATATCACTTTTTTTTTAAAATAATTGTGAATTAATGGTATTGTAACTAGACAGTGAGGCCTGCAGGATCTGTGCATTGCCTACACCTCTACACTGCTGCAGGTTTAACCTCTAACCTCGAACATGTCTTGTAATCAAAGAAGCTACTTAGGTGAACAATTAAAAATGACAACTACTATAATTATATTTTTGTAAATGTAAAATATAATACTTTTGAGCTGTCAGAATTTTATGTTTTTTTTTTCCATGAAAAAGATTAATTGAAAAAAAATGTGTGCATGTGTTTAAAACGATCTCTTCCTACATGGTGCATGATTGTGAGTTGTCATCTGTCTCCTGTATTTACATTTTACTCCCTACAGCCCATCCCCTTATTTATATTGTCCAGCTAGGGTAGACGGTACTTGTGAAGCAGGTGAAGCAATGTGTGGTGACTGTCTGTATTCATGCCACTGTGTGCTGGCTCACGTCTCCATTGATTAAAGCAGGAAGAGTCACCTAATTGGATAACAGTTTATGGAAAGTAGGGGGTGAGAAAATAGAAACCAGAAGGTGACCACAGGAGGGAAAAATAATGAAAATTACTAATTCTGGTCCTGGGCTGTCAGATTTTGTTAGGTACTACATCTTTGACTCATAAAGTGAAGAACTGTATCAAAATAAAAAGGCTATATTTTATTATTTTAGTAACGAAAGATTGCAAGTAATTTAATTCCTCTAAATGTCTTATGACAAATCCAATCACAAAGTCAAATCAAGTCCTTCAAGCCATCCTTTGGATCAAACTTGCATGACATACACAATACTTTAATGCTGAGACCCACAAGATAAAAAAAAAAGAAACAAGTAGTTTGAATTTGTTTTCAACAGTTGGCTGTAGACATATTTCTTCAGTTGTTATTCTGTTGCATTTTAAACAAAAATGAAAGCCATTACATTTTTTATATAATCATGGTATAATAATAATAATAATGAAAAAACTGCCTTCTACATCTTTAACAATCTTAAATTAATAGTGCTCACAAATAAAAGAGGCTATGGAGATTTTCAGCACCAAGGACAGCGACCGATAACACGACCAGTCTGAGGAGCGTCCTGAACAAAACACAATGATTTAATGATCCATCTGTCCGTCTTTTACTTGCTTTTCTATTCTGGGTCACGGGCAGCTGGTACCTATCTCCAGCAATCACTGTGGAAGGAGGCTACAGTTTAAACAGGTTGCAAGTCAATCAAAAGGTTACATAGAGACAAACAACCATTCACACACTCACTCGTCCTTGGGGACAATTTAGAGTTAAACTAACAAGGATGTTTAGGGTTTGTGGAAGGTAACCAGTGTGCTCAGAGAAAAGCCACATCTGCACAGGGAGAACCTACAAACTCCACCGAAAGGCTGAGAAGCAAACCTACAACCTTCATGACAGCTCTAACAACTGTGCTGCCATGCCAACCATAGTTGTGAATTAATGCATATAATTATCTAAAACAGACTTCATATTTTGCTTAATAAAATAGAATAAATAAGCCTCTCTTTCCTCACTGTATTGGTTTCCAAACAGGCAATCATTTGCATTTTGTTTTGAAGTTGGGGAGCTCTCTATAAACATTTACAAAATGTGGCAAATAAATACTCAGTGCAATATATGAACCAAAGTGACTCTTGTAGTTTGATGTGTGTACAAACTGAGTGAACAAACATGCAAGTCTGGTCATTCGGTCACCTCCCTTGTTTAATGAGCTTTCCATGAAACTGACAGCCAATCCAGAAAGCTTTAGAATTGTTATATAGAGATGGGAAGCTACCATGAAGACCATCGTCCCAGTATCCATGTCAGGCAAGATTTTATGAGAAACAACAGTGACACTCAGTTACTCAACATATGACTATTGTATTCTAGGGATATTATGGAATTTACTCTGATTTGATGAGATAAAAATGAACTAGTAACCCAGAAATCTAAGCACCATGCCTGGCAGAGTTTAACCTTTTTCTCCAGAATCAATCCATCACTGAGCTTTTTATTTATTTTAGCAGCAACTGCAAGAACTGGTCAGTGAAGTGACAGTAAATCTGAGTGCAAAAAGGCTCTTAAAAATATACCGCATGTAGCTCAAAATGTACGAGTGGCCTGACAGTTCACTATTCATTTATTTTATACAGTTTGTTTCTGAAAGGCAAAGACACTTTCCAGACTTTAAGCCCAAATTACACCTGAACAACATGTGTCTTAAAATACTTTGTACTTCCCTTTCAAATGTTTGCACTCTCATTACGGAGTAAAAAAAAAAAACCAACAACTTAAAATTAAAATATAAATAGTATTTAATATAAATTAAGAAATCCTGAATGGCAGCAACTAGTTGCAGTTACTTCACCACAAGAAGGTCTAACATTGAAATCCCAGCTGTGTAGGATTTTCTGCAAGGGGTTGGC